TAAATAAATATGCCGTTTTCAAAATAAATTTATGCAAACCGACACACCTGATGATGACCGTTTGAGTTATGGTCGAAACGTCGTGAGAATTTTTTATTGTTTTATATATATTTTGTTATTTTGTTGTTTCTCTTCAACGTGACTTTACCGAAAAAACTAAGAATATGAATTACTGCAGTCACGAAAGCTTTAAATCAAAATGCATATACCTTGTCCTGTAGGTGGAGCACGGAGAATAGTATGTCGCCTGATGAGGTTGGTTGTAATTACCGGCGAAATGTCAGAGTACTTGAATTGTTAATTTTGTGAGTTTACTCTCCAATACACCGGTGTGCTGTATTAGTAACAAATTGGCATGTTTTCTTTACGTAACAAACCTTTCTAATTGGCTGTGGCGGGTGCCGGTGGGTTCAACAACACATTTATATTTACGCGATCTAACCCTAAAAATCGTCTTATGGATAATATTGGTCGTGAAAGCTTACTACGTGTTAAACAGTACGGGCTTTGACCTGCGAACGTGGCCGAATAGTTGAACCTGTTTTGTGGGTCCTAGCCTTCTCGTTGACCCTGCGTGCAAATCCGTCACTGTGTATAAAAAAATGAAAGCACCCTTATGTAACAGTGCATGCCGATTATTCCTAATAGGATATGATGGTGGGGCTGTTGTCACGAGGTATCAGGGCTATGCATAGAAGAAGAGGCCCCCATACTGAAGCGTGTTTTCCAGAAGAGACAAATTAACAGCAGCACAAACCACAATTGTGGGATTGAAGACACTCTTCATGGTTACCCACGGGTTTTCATCTGCATGACGAATGAGAATAAAAAAAAAATACGAAATGGGGCATAAACAGTTATCTGTCATTGGTTTATACGTGGCTGTTGAGCTTTATTGTTTGTAAATAAAAAAACAGATATACAGCAATCATATAAACAAATAGAAAACAGCTGAAAGTGAGTGCTCATCACGTCTAGTTTTATTATTGTCATAAACCAAGTCAAATTGCCTGATTGCTCATCTCTATTGATGACCCTGAACCAGTGATGTCATGTCCATATTTGTATGGCAGAGGCTATAGGACAACCACCAGAGTGTCTCCCTGCGCAAACATATATTGGGCCATTGCTTCCATCTGTTGGCAGTTTTGAGCTGTCATTGGAAATTACACATTCTCATGTCAAGGGCCTGTCTCTTTTAGAAACTTCTGTCGAGTGCCCACAAAGTAGGACTCATTGAATGTGGAATTTCCCTACGTAGATCATCGCTAATGTACCATTATTTTAACACAATACGAACCAAACAGATCTCAACGAACAGATGGAGGACCATCTTGTACATTATAAAATCTGGCGAGGATTTATATTGTATTGATTCGTGCGAGTGGCAGTGATCTCGCTGGGAAAAATAAACATGAGCATTGGAACTGGTACGAACACTAGAACTGGGTTCCCTACCTGACACCACCACTCCCTGTTCTAAACCGCCAACCATTCCACAGGAGAACCGCTTGTTGGTATTAGGGTGTTTGTTTCTGTATTATAAATTCAAACTATTTAAACCATACATTTATTTTATTTTGCCAGGTAAGGCCCATTTATAGCTCCTTTTCAGAAGCGACCTGGCCACAAATGATAGCTCAACGAAGTGGCTTATCACGCGTTAACTTTAAGCAGCCAAGTATTCAAAGTCTCACATGTCACCCGGGCACAGTGACCATGAAAGATTTTGGCTTCACTATATGGAGTCATGAAGATGAACTATGTGCTTGCACACTTGGTCACGTGGATGGTACCATCACCACACCTCTCCGATCCAGGGTTCGTGGGGAGGTCAACAGTGTGTTGTCTCGAAATCTATATTAGAAAATATTTTTTTAAATCTAAAACTAAACTTTTTCTTTTTCCACGTAAAGTCCACTTAGCTATATAGCTTTTTTTAAAAAGTGACCTGGCCACAAATGATGGCTCAATCAAGTGGCTTATAATGTGGACTTTTATAGCAGCCAAATACTCTAAACTCATGTTCACTGTAAACCTGGAGGGAAAAACCAAAGTACCTGGAGAAAAATCCACACGACCACAGGGAGAGAGAGAACATGCAAACTCCAAATATTTAGGTGTCAGGATCGGAATTCAACCCACAACCTCCTGCATACCAGGCGATGGAGGTAACATCTCGCCATTTGGTTTGGCATGTTTATCATGAAATTTTGATTCCACGGTCCATGATCTGGTGCTATGGTTGAGGATGTGGGAAGATTTGGATAGTGTTGATTAGTGACTGTAATATCTTGGGACATGAGTTTTAAAGCGTCAGTGCAAACAAGTTGTTATTCAGAAACTTTCCACACTTTTTAACTCGTAATAAACCATTTTTTAAAATAAAAATTTAATGGAATGTAGCTTGCTGTGTATTATCGATATTATCACAATTCACCTTATGACTAAACTTTATGCACGGAGGAAACAAGCTGTTCAGATGAGTCTCTCATTCAGTGTTTAAATAAAAGTCGAACATTGATGCGGTGCCATTGTCTTGGTACAAGCTTGAAGCTGTGGATTTGTTTAAATATAAGTTGTAAGGGACCAGTGGTGTCAAAACAAAGATTTAAATAAAAAGCCAATGTATGGCATTTATATTTAACTGTCAAAGTGTTGCGTCATAGAACAACGCGGAGACGGAACTTCTTGTAAGGGCTTTCGCCGTTTATTAACACGGTTTAAACACTCGGCTCACACCAGGGGTAGGTGTTCTTTATACTCGGTCCTTCCCGTGGACCCCCAAGCTCTACTCGTCCTAACCTCGGCTATCCCTTGGGCTCTCTCACTTGGGCCGGGACGGGGGTTCAACCAACACCGCCCGGTCACGAGCGGGAGGAGAGACTTCCTTCAGCCGGTCCACACTCCGGGCTTCCACAATGATCCCGCCTTCGTCACGGGATCCCCCTTAAGTACCCCTTGGGCGGCTCCTCCCCTTCACTCAGACCCGCCCCTGTTCTCGAAGGTGTCTCCTTACAGCGCTTATGACATGACGTCATCACACCTTACAGCGCCCATGACATGACGTCATCACACTACTCCTCTACAAAATTATAAATTCATGTCAGTGCCATAATTGAAATCTGCTTCTGTGAATTTAAATATATCACCCCTGAAATCTCACATGCTGTCCATTGGATGACGTTCATATTTCCTCTAACAAGCCAGGCTTTTATAAGAGTTAAGTGACACAACTCCCTCTGTCTCCTCTGCGTCACGACATACAGTGAAGGAAAAAAGTATTTGATCCCCTGCTGATTTTGTACGTTTGCCCACTGACAAAGAAATGATCAGTCTATAATTTTAATGGTAGGTTTATTTGAACAGTGAGGGACAGAATAACAACAAGAAAATCCAGAAAAACGCATGTAAAAAAATGTTATAAATTGATTTGCATTTTAATGAGGGAAATAAGTATTTGACCCCTCTCAATCAGAAAGATTTCTGGCTCCCAGGTGTCTTTTATACAGGTAACGAGCTGAGATTAGGAGCACACTCTTAAAGGGAGTGCTCCTAATCTCAGCTTGTTACCTGTATAAAAGACACCTGTCCACAGAAGCAATCAATCAATCATATTCCAAACTCTCCACCATGGCCAAGACCAAAGAGCTCTCCAAGGATGTCAGGGACAAGATTGTAGACCTATACAAGGCTGGAATGGGCAACAAGACCATTGCCAAGCAGCTTGGTGAGAAGGTGACAACAGTTGGTGTGATTTTTCGCAAATGGAAGAAACACAAAGAACTGTCAATCTCCCTCGGCCTGGGGCTCCATGCAAGATCTCACCTCGTGGAGTTGCAATGATCATGAGAACGGTGAGGAATCAGCCCAGAACTACACGGGAGGATCTTGTCAATGATCTCAAGGCAGCTGGGACCATAGGCACCAAGAAAACAATTAGTAACACACTATGCCATGAAGGACAGAAATATTGCAGCACCCGCAAGGTCCCCCTGCTCAAGAAAGCACATATACATGCAACTGGGTGAAAGTGTTGTGATCAGATGAGACCAAAATGGAGCTCTTTGGCATCAACTCAACTCGCCGTGTTTGTAGGAGGAGGAATGCTGCCTATGACCCCAAGAACACCATCCCCACCGTCAAACATGGAGGTGGAAACATTATGCTTTGGGGGTATTTTTCTGCTCAGGGGACAGGATAACTTCACCGCATCAAGGGACGATGGACGGGGCCATGTACTGTCAAATCTTGGGTGAGAACCTCCTTCCCTCAGCCAGGGCATTGAAAATGGGTCGTGGATGGGTATTCCAGCATGACAATGACCCAAAACACACGGCCAAGGCAACAAAAGGGGTGGCTCAAAAAGAAGCACATTAGGGTCCTGGAGTGGCCTAGCCAGTCTCCAGACCTTAATCCCATAGAAAATCTGTGGAGGGAGCTGAAGGTTCAAGTTGCCAAACGTCAGCCTCAACCTTAATGACTTGGAGAAGATCTGTAAAGAAGAGTGGGACAAAATCCCTCCTGAGATGGGTGGAAACCTGGTGGCCAACTACAAGAAACGTCTGACCTCTGTGATTGCCAACAAGGGTTTTGCCACCATACTTATTTCCCTCATTAAAATGCAAATCAATTCATAACATTTTTGACATGCGTTTTTCTTGATTTTTTTGTTGTTATTCTGTCTCTCACTGTTCAAATAAACCTACCATTAAAATTATAGACTGATAATTTATTTGTCAGTGGGCAAACGTACAAAATCGGCAGGGGATCAAATACTTTTTTCCCTCACTGTAGCTGAAGCCGCACATCTCTACTTTGCGGTGGAATTTCAAGGACTCTAGCTTGGCTGGGACATCACCAGAGGTCACGATAGCAACGTGTCAGAAAGTCACAGTGGTTTGTTAAGTAAGCTCCCAGGCTCCTGTCGTCGGATGCACATGCCAGCTATGAACGTACAAAATAAAATAGTTTTTTTTGGTTTGTGTCTCCCTCCAAAGAATCTCTGTTCTGAGCAAGATGGGGAGAGTTGGACTGGGCAGGAGGAGGGAGCAGGGTGCAGCGCCCGAGCAGGGTCCCTGTGCAGTGAGGGCCCAGCCCAGGCCCCTGTGGCAGCGGTCAACACAGCGCACGTCAAAGCGGCGCCGGCAGAGCGGGAGAGGGTGACCGAGTCGACCGCCCGTGTCCCGTTCAAACGGAAACTTGGCGATGTGAAAGACGAGATCACCAAACGGCTCAAGACGGAAGGTGAGCGGCCTTGCTGCTCTCGCCGCCATCATCGTCGTTGTTATCGTCTGCTTAAGTCGCGCTACTTTCATGGTTATCCTCGTCTTAGAATCCTCATCATCGCATGCAACGTTGTCGCCATCGTTATAATCTGGTCAACATTATCATTACCACCAAAAATAAATGCAATCACAAGAACCACCGCAATAACCTCCATAATTTTCATCTCCTTTAACACCTGTAACTGTCTTATCACCATCAATATATGGGGTTGAGATTCGTCCATGGCCTTTGTTCTCAGCCATTGTGCAAAGCCTTAGTCTATAAAAAATATTTCTGTTATGAGGCAGTGCAAATGAAGAATGGGATGACCTTGCTTTGGAGTTTGCACTTGAATAATGCTTTGCTGAGTGAATGTGGCCAAACAAGAGCGGAGCTCTTTATTATTTTATTATTATTTTATTCTCATTCTATGTGACTTTACCAAAAGAACCAAAGAAGAAGAAGAGCGGGGCGTGTTTGTGCACCTGTCTGTCGCCGTGTACTTGTTGGAAGACCCACAATGTCATATGTAAGATAAATAAATCGGGGGACTGGTCCAGTCCTTGACATTAACATCACTCTGAAAATCAAGGAGCAAGCACAGCTCTGAGCGAGTAGAAGCACAATAATCGATCCCAATAAGTGCTCTTCCATTGTCCAAACACATTCACTGTGTCGCTTGCATGTGTTGTCAGTTTTTTCAAGAACTAATGCCTTTCATGAATAACTGCTCTATATTTGCCAGTAGAGACTGGTGCGCATTCGTAGAGTTAATCACAATGAGGCTTTTGTGGTACCCCAGGGAAGTGGTGACCCTTTAAAGGTGTGTAATAAGTCTGTGATACATAGCTATCCTAGTTAGCTTATGAAATAGATGTTTTTTTTAAATAAATGATTGTATAAACGGCAATCGTCGTAACTAGCACAAATAAAAGGTAGAACGTAATATGCTACGAGAAGTGACTGGGCTCGGACCATAATGAATGTGCAGGGGAACTGACATGGAGGGCCAGAATCACATCTTAAACATCCAAAACGCACTTTCACATGGGTGATTTGCCCCACCGACAATGGCGGAGACAGTGGCATCTCTTGTAGTTCAAAATTGGACACGCGCCAATCCGTGACATTGGCTTTTTGCGGTGGAGCTCGGGACACATTTCCAGATGGCGAGACAAAGGGGGATAGGTGGGGCGTGTGCCGTGCTGCCGTCTTCTCGCCTGCCACGTGGCTCTGCGCCTGTGTGCAGAGGGGAGGGGGTGTGTGCACCCTTCTGACGGACCGTCTCTGCGTCATAGGCGGTGAACCGGGAGCCGACCTGCAGCAGGGGGCCAGCACGGGCAGGAGGTGGATGGTGCAAGCCAACCTCATCGATGCCTCTGACCTGGAGTGCTCCCTCTGCATGCGGTGAGCCCATCGCTCTTTTCACAGATGTCCAGTAGGGTTGGGTCAGTTACGACAACAAACAATACGAAAACGCGACAGGAGTGTAAAGTAGAGGAAAGGTAAACATATCGCTTAAAAAATATATACAAATAAAACTACAAAAAAATTCGTATCTTTCCAGATTAACCCCTTTGAGCTTATTAGCTTCTTTTTCAAAATCGACCTGGCCACAAATGATAGCTCAACAAAGTGGCATTCACCTGAAGCAGCCAAACTCTCGGAGCCAGATTAACCCATGTGCAATTGTTGTGGACACAATGGGCCCAAAATGTGCATCCTCATCATCGTCGTCACCTATCCACTGCTGGATAAATGCCTCCCCAAGTCATTACCACCGCTTATAGTTTTTCTGTGCCACAATCTTGTCTCCAACTCCTCCTGCACATGGGCTGATTTGATCACTGCATCTCCGCTGTGGTCTTCCTCTCAGGAGTATTCCCCCCTGTGGCTGCCACTCTTTTACAAACGTTTCTTCAACTAAATGGCATTTTGCATTGACAAAATTGCGCTCTACGATGCGTACACAGTTGGACGAGATCTTTAGTCCGCACCCCCCCCCCCCAAAATGAGCACGTTTGGCTCCGTACGGTGCGAAAGAAGTTAAATACACATACAGTCCACACGTACAATAAACATCAGCCCACTACACAGTTTTTATGTTACGCTTTGTCCAGCTCGTGCTTTGTAACATTAGTTGGACCGTTGAGCATTGTCCTTGCATCATTTAAAGCATAGGGACTCCCAGCCTGGCTCGTGCAAGAGAGCAGAATTAACTTGGAGTCATCGAGCTACATTATAAACATCCTTGCGCTAGAACAGAGCCTGAGTCCTCTGGCAAGAGGTGAATGGGAACCTGTTACAAAGGTGACACAAGGGTCTGCGCGTGTACGGGACTTCCGAGTGAAAGTTCTCTTGGGAAAGCAACGACTGAGGGCCTAATTCATTCGTTCGTCTTTTGGAAAGACAGCTTCCAGCTGTGTTGAGCTCAAAATGGTAAAGTTGTCAAACTTTCGTACGGATTTTTTTTTTACAACAAAAAAACTTAATGGATTTGTTTTCTGCCAAGACATGAATGTGACAGCAAGGACGGATACACGAAACGAACAGATGTGTGAATCATCAGTCTGTTGACTAACGTATTTCTTAATGGATTCCGAGTGGACTGTTTAAGCACAGGGTCGATTTGCTGGATTACGACCACACTTAACGTGCTGCTCGCCATGTTGTCCTCTTTGACTTATCCTTGTTAACTGATTTAATAATCTCAACAAGGTTCAGTTTGTAGGAAATTGGGGATTAATTGAAAGAGGCTCATGATATTTCCATTCATTTTATTTCTCCTGGATGAGGTTTGTTATTGTTTGCAACGGTTCCTTTTGGTGGCTAATACAATCCATGGTGTGCGTAGTGCAACGTTACTTCCGTGCCAATGTTTAAATTGCAGGAAAAGCCCATTGAGATCAAATACTTGTGTTTCTTAGTGTTGGGCATCCGTACTCTCATGCGTAGTGTGTAAATCACGGTGTTAAATGTGCTGGTGTATTGTTTATTATGAAAAAAAACATTTGTATTTGAGGAAACAAATTTATCTGGACTCTAATTATTATTTGATTCATACTGCTCTCTTTTTCGGTGAGGTATGTCTACTTTAATTTATTGCTGCTTCATTAGCACAAGCCAATACAGCCTTTCAGTTGAGTTCTTGGGTTCATTTATCACTCAGCAATTTGTAAATTAATTAAAGGTAAATTAAGCTACGTGTATGCATGTGTAAGTCAGTTCTAGGTGTCTAGCCTGAAATGGGAAAGAGAAAGATAGCAAAATATTTCATTCAGGTCACGGAATCTGACCATTTCTATCAGAAAACGTGAAACGGTCTCCCAGCTGAAAATATCTCTGGATGACAGAAATTCCAAATTGTCTCGTAGAAATCCCACATTCTCACGTGGAATTCTACATTTTCATGTGGAATTTCTACCTGTGGAACCAGTCTCTCCATAGAAAAGCGACCGTTAATGTTCCACAAAGCAGTACTCGGTTTATTGATCTGGAATGTATTCTCGGATAAATTGCTGAACGACTGCAGATGATGTCTATGAAACACAGCAGCACCTTTGTGATAGCCCTGAGCTATACGAATGGCGTGAATACCAAATGTACTAAATAGTAATTGTTATGAAATTGACCGAATTTAAATATATGGCAACATTGCAATGGTGATCTTCTTTGGTTCTTTCGGTAAAGTCACGTAGAATGAGAATAAAATAATAAAATAACACAATAAAATTCTCACGACGTTTCGGCCACAACGCAAGCGGCCGTCTTCAGGTGAAAGATACAGAACTGTCGGGACGACAGAGCTGAAGATGGCCGCTTGCGTTGTGGCCGAAACGTCGTGAGAATTTTATTGAGTTATTTTATTACTTTATTCTCATTCTACGTGACTTTTCCGAAAGAACCAAAGAAGATGAATCCTTGCAGTCACGAAAGCTTCAAATCAAAATTGCAATGGTGAGCCGATAACTCTGAACCAGAGTGTTGTGCAACCAGTGGGAGTCTCACTCATGAAATAGAATCAGAATATCCTGGAGAAATCCGATGAGCTATGAAGCTCTTTTTTCACAGATGTCTGGTGGCAGGTCACAAAGTTTCAACAACAAACAATGAAAAAACGATACAAGTGCAAAGTATAACAAAACTATGTAAATCACTAAAACATAATTTAAAATTAAGCAATTTATAAACTAAACTATCTCTTCGTTATTTTTCATAAGCAGCCTGGCCACAAATGATAGCTCAACAAGGTGGCTTATCACATGGAAATGCATGGAAATGTAGCAGCCAATAGATCCACGATCCTGACAGCCCTGCCTCCAAATATACTCGAATGCAGGAGAGACCGACCATCACAGATATGAGTCACCATGGCTGGCACATATATAGAGTTGGCTTTGAGCTGAATGGTTCAGTGTAAGGTTCTGCTGTAGGCACCGTCATACCCATTAATCCTGGAATGTAATTTATTTTCACCGTAATGCATAGAGGTCCTCGCAAGAGAATGAAATGGCCACTGGGTAATGCTGTGGCAGATCTCTTGACCCAGAATTGGAAGATTGAGAGATTTCAGTTGGGGGTTGACTCGGCTCTTACCCGCTTTTGTGCTGATAGAATGAATCCCATTATGTAAAAAGTCAGCGGGGGCTGTGCTACATTATTTGCCATAGGGATGGGAAATTTTATTCACTGGCTCAGGTTCACCAATGACCATGAGCACCAATCAATGTTTTAGCCAGGAGAAAATTCATCTTGATTCTTTGACTGATGTGGGTTTTTTCCTTTTAACTAATTCTCATTTATATCTCAGAAATATGTAGCTGATTTTTGTCATATGGTAATTCTGTAATTCATAAATTTGACCAATTTACTTCGACAGCATGAGAAGAAGCTAATTAAGACTGCCTCTCATGGAGATATTGTGTTCACTTCCACTAATCCCTCTCCGCACTGCCGCTATGCAGCTGTAGCGCCAGGAAATACAAGACAAATGGGCTTCTTGCGCAATTCATTTCGTGCAACACTCCTTTGATGAATTAAAACGAGGGCACCAGAGTTGTGCCAGATGCAGTGACAGTCTGAACTTGTTCATTTTAAACTACCTTTTTTTTTACTGCCTTCCTGTGTATCCTCTATCCAGCTGTGATGAGAGCAGTCTGCTCACCATTGTTAGGCTGCAAGTTCAATCCCAGTTGAGGTTGCCACTCTACCCCGTGAGATATACGTACGCAGGACATATGAGAATGAACGTGGGAGCTTCCGGACACAAAGTCAAAATGTTTCCTCTCCTCTGAAAAGTGTGGCGTGGCATTCATCTCTGTCGATGGCCGTGAGTCACTGGCTTAAATTCCATATTTCTATGGCAGGGGTCTTTCACTCGAGAGGACAACCGCGGTTGATTGACTCCTACCCAGGATATTAACGCTCAACCTTATGACTGTGAATCAGGAGTTTTAACTAAAGTGTCAACAGTTGTCATGATGTAAAAGCATCTTGCATGATTTGCCAGCTCTGTTCCTCGTGCTCAAAATTATATTATTCACCCTCTCGTTTTATTCAAATCCACAGACATGTCATCTCCTTAAGTCATGTAACCTATTTATATATATACACATTAATTGGCTGCTGTAAATTTCCATATGATAAGCCATTTCATTGAGCTATAATTTTTGCCCAAGTCTCTTCTGAAAAAGAGCTATATAGCTCAGTGGGCCTTACATTGTAAAATAAAAAAATGTTAATCTCTAAAATAGTTAGTTAATCCTATCACCAAAGCACCCAGAATATGCCCAACCTGATCACATCTTAACCTGAGCAGTTTTTTAGACTGGAAGCTGCTGGCTGTGTTTGTGCAGCAAAATCCATTGTTGTGGTATACTTGCTTCAGTAGTACCTACAACCAACACTTACCAGCATGGTGAAGTATGGTAAAAAGAATCCCCATGGCCCGCATGGCTTGGGGAGGCCATTGTCCAGTAGTGGATTTACAAAAGGGCTACACACACGTGCACACATTCACCGCGAGTGAACGTGAAATTTTATGGGATGCATTTTCCATAGCCTTTCTTTTACTCCTGGTACAATGAAAAAAAAGGGCTTATTTCTTACAAAGTTCCTCGTGGCTCATCGAGAAAAAGCCAGGAGATTATCCTCATTTTTGCATTTTTTTCCCCAAATTCTCTGTCAGCACCAGCCATGGGAGGCTGGTGTTCCGGTCCTGATGGTGCCTTGCAGCTTGCAGTCTTGGGCAGTATTTTATGCAGGTGCTTCATCGGCAAGAGCCATCCTGGCTTTCACTCCCCGTGGTTTTGGGTTTCGCGTGTCTTAAAAGAACGGCCTTCAAGCCTGGAAAACCAGGCTATGTGTCACTGCAGTTAGTTAATGTTCTTTGTGGGAGCTCTCCATAGAATTTCTCCTTAGCGTGGCATCGTCTTTTTGCGTATGACGGGAAAAGTTTAGAATGGGATGTCTAGGATGGCGATCCCCTCAATTGCTTGCCGAGATGCTAAGTGTAGAAACGAAGTACCCCTCACACCAGATCTCAGTGGGCAGGTTAATGCGATGTGTCTGGGGCTCATGGCCACGGACACACTTGGGGTCACATGCTGGACATGGCATGAAGTACCAGGTGTCCTCCTGCTGGTGCCGTTGAATTATTGTCTTGCACTGAGCCCAGGGAAGACGCGGAAAGAGAAGTGTTGTGATCTGGTGGTTGAACGCAGTGTGGGTGCGATGAAACAGTCAGTCTGGTAGAGTCTTTAAACTATAAGCTAAACACTTTTTATTTTCATTTTATTTTATCAGGTAAGGCCCACTGAGCTATGTAGCTCTTTTTAAGAGGCAATCTGGCCACACATGATAGCTCAACGAAGTGGTTTATCATGTGGAAATTTATAACAGCCAAATACTCTAAACGCGTGTTTTTAAATGTCGAGGGAAAACCGGAGAACTCGACTAAAAATCCACACGACCACGGGGAGAACACGCAAACTCCAAATATACAGGCATCACGGTTGGGATCGAACCCACGGCCTCCTGTATACCAGACAAGGTAACATCTCGCCACCGTGGTGCATGGGTGGAGGAATTGATGAGTGCTTGACTCAAAAATGGAAGGATGAGAGTTTAAATCGAACTCAACTTTCGGTAAAATGAGGACTACTTTGTAGGACACCAACCGTGGTTGTCCTATGCAGAGACTGGGCCCTACTGTAAGAATGTGGAGTTTCCACCACTGGCTGAAGCCTGCCGATGGATGATGAGCACCACCCAATGCTTTTGATTTAATGTGAACTGCATTGAAAATTAAATGTGAACATTATTCTTGATGCTGTCTTATCTAGGTCACTTGGCGATGTTGTACATTGTTCAAAGACAAGCTGAATTAATCCTCCAGAATCGAATTATGCACAGCTGATCCAAAGGTTGTGCGGTTGTCTAATCACGGTGATCGGTCTCATCTGAACGCCACACGGTGCTGTGCCCACAACCTGTGTCCGCATTACGCAATTATTTTCTAGGTCTCTGAGCATTCGGACCGCTTAGATAACACCGCTAAATGGCTTACCATGAAAGCATCACTCCTCAAAACCCACATCAATGCATAACAATTGTGACTTGCCCTTATTTTTTTTGCTAGAGTTTTATTTTAATAGTTAAACAAAAGCCGGTGAAGCATCTCTCCTCCACATTCTCAAGAAATGGAGCAACACCCATTACTGTTCGCAGATCTTGAGCCGGTAGTGGAATTCCATTTTCCCATAGAATGATCACTTTTCCTGAATTATCACAAAGTGCTAGTAATTTTATTCACCCAGGATTAATGGTTGGCTGATTGAATAGTCTATTATGTACCAAATGTATATAGTTTTAATTATATCTGTTTATGAAAGTGGAAAGAATCCATGGTTAACAAAGTTGTGCATACCGAGGAAGGTATTCTGGGTAAGTTGGTTGTAGAAAAAGGCTATTTTGAAATATTAAATCCCCATCTATTAAACATGGGAGAAGATTCCACCAGCGAGTAGTGCCTTGGAGTGGATCATGGTGCGTCATAAATGACCGTCCTTTGAGTTTGCTCGTCTATGTGTCGGACCCCCCCCTACCTCCCCACCCCCACCTCCTCTTCCCGCTGCAGCCTCTTCTACGAGCCGGTGACGACCCCGTGTGGGCACAGCTTCTGCCGGAAATGCCTGGAACGTTGCCTTGACCACACCCCCAAGTGCCCGCTCTGCAAGCAGACGCTGGCTGAGGTGAGGCGACTGCGCCCGACTCGCAGTCGGGAAATCAGAAGGCACTGAATTAAAATCAGAATATTTATAATGGAGGAATTCGATGAGCTATAAAGCTCTTTTTAACAGATTTCCAAATTATTACCCCAGGTAGGGGGGGGGGGGGCAGGTGGTCAGCTCGACTCATCACGACTCTGGGGTCAAGAAAATTGGTACCCGTTTCGTGAAAAGTCAATGACTTAAACCAGGAGTGTCATTTCCACATTACCATTGCAGGAAATAGTTTTGGGTAGAATTACCACTGTTGCCTTTCCATAGAGTGATACTCATTTTATCTACCCCAGGGGGATAATGAACTGTCGTCTACTGACTCAGTGACCTGGGTTAAATTTGCAGTCATACACAAAATAGTGACATCGTGTAGGTCAACTCAGCCTTAAACAAGTGACCTGGTGCAGCGTGTAACATCAACCCGAGGGAGACGGATGCGGCCAGGTGTGGTGCTGGTCACAAGACGGCTTCATGCACCACGGCAGCCTTAAAAAAAAGTGCTCTCTCTCAGCATTCTCCACCTTGCGGGCTGTAACAGCCCTCTTCCACTGGCACATCAAAGCCACACCAGCGAGGTGCCCTCAAGGTACAGGTGGTTTTCCACTGGCTATTTTGCCGAGGCGAGGCAGAGCCAAAGCGTGAAACTGGCCTCGCAAGACATCTGAATCTGGCTCGGGCCGAAGCAGGTCCAGGGGCGAGGTTAATAATTTTCGTCGTAGGCGCGCCTCGACTCGTTCATTGCATGTGTTGTCGTCAAATGTGGCTCAGGTTCTGCAGTGGAAAAACCCACCTGGCACCGCTTGAGCCACGTTGTGCAGGCCAGACACAGCTCCAGCGTGACCCTGTTGCACAGTTGAACAAAAAAATTGCTTTGAGACTAAACAAGAGCATGGGTGGCGGGCATGGTGCGTGTACGCCGCAGTACCTGGCACAGCGGACATTCCCCCAGACTGTGCTGCTGGAGGACATCATCTCTACCTGCCTCCCTAACGAACTGGCCGAGCGCAAGAGCACACACGAGCAGGAGCTCGCTGAGCTCGCCAAGTAAGACCCAAAACCCCACACGCGCAATCGCTGATCAATAGCAGGAGCTGAAGCTCCTGCTATTGATGCCCCCAGGGTCTGGAATGCTACTGCCAATAAACTGCAACTTGAATCGCTACCAATGAGATCTTCTCTCAAAACAGCTCTAGAGGAGTTGTACACCCCTAGCTGCCACTGCTATTCATTGGCGTAAAATAAAATAAAATGTTTCGCTCCAGATGACGCTGCAAAGTATTATCTGTATTTTGATTTAGCGTGCTGATCTTAAAGGTGCATTGAAAAATGTGATACTCCGACTGATGCTTCTGCTATTGTGGAGTAACTCATGCAGCCAGCTATGGCTCTAGGATTTGGTGTTACACGTTATTTATGTAGTTTATTGTAAAAATTTGGTCACAGTCCCTGTGATCACTGTTACGTTGCAATTATGGCTTTATTTTTTGGTGATTTCGAAAAGTTTTTTGGTTTGGACATGTTTGTTTTGTTGTACGGAGTTAGACTGATGGCCTTAATATAAGTTTTCTTGTGGTTGTTGTTGTTTGACTTGCATCCCACTGGGATTTTTTGCACACAGCGTTGGTGTACGGTGCTTTTTTCAGGAATATTTTGCTGTTTTTTCATGGATTTTCTGTTTGCACAGTCACATAGTCACTTTAAGATGTTTTTCTTGTTCGTGTTTTTGGTTTTTTGTTTGTTGTGGTTGCACCCGATTCAAAAGCCGAATGGCTCACAGGGCTATACCAAAATAAATAAACTGAAAACTGAAACAGCAGCAGGAGCTGAAGCAGCAGCAGGAGCAGCAAGAGCAGGAGGAGCGGCAGCAGCAGGAGTAGCAGCATTGGCACACAGCTGGCTCTGGCGGTTCACAACGCCCTCGTGCCAGCAGTGACTTTCATTTGGCTCATTTTTACGTTAAGAGTGAAAAGCCTGCCCCTGCGGCTGTCTGTACAATACACACAACAGCATTGACACACTCGAACTACAACGTGCATAGGATAAGAAATGCGCTGTCATGGACCAGGGAACGATAGTTTGCTTTTGCACAAGTTAAAAAAGACGAGGCAGCCGAGTAGGATAGCACTCATGTGGCAAATACAGTGCCTATGGATTTGGAATCACATTTTCCAATTAAAAAAAGGGCACCTACAGTTATTAGTGGTAACTATTTGACACGAAATGAATACCCGATAGGCCTACGTCATGTTTTGGTATTTAAAAAAACATAAAACCTCCTTGGCATGATGTTTATGATTGTGAATAACATTGATGTATGTATGTTGAGATTCTTTCGCATCATACGTAGCCAATTTTTTTTAATCGAAGGTGCGACGGAAGGACAACAAACTAAACAAAAAGCTGTTCTCAATAAAAAAAAAAATTGTGTAACGTTGAATGAGCCCAAAGAAACTTACTGGATAAATAAATGACAATTTGCCTGTCTTTTGCAAACATCTTGCTGGGTTTAAAAAATATATATATCATTGTTGCTTTGCACAGCCCCAAAGGTCCAGAACATCAGGGCATCCAGCAACAAACGGCACAATTGAAATTGTAACAGATGTTCGATCTTACCTTTCTTGAATTAAGCAAGACGATATACGAAGTTGGGAAGATTAAATTTTGGTGGAAATTCCAAAGTGGCGTATTGTGAGGAAACAAGCGGGAGAAGTGTCGTGGCCTCCAGTCAGGCTGCTAGGCCAAGTCCTCGGTGTGGGTGGAGGAATCATCGCGCATAGTTTACGGGAACAGTAGTCATGGTCGTTGCACAAGAAGAGTCAAGTTTATTTGATTAGCCAGGTGGGAACTCGGGAGACCAGGATGAGTCTCGTTTGCAAGAGGGACCCGAGTTACCGAAATGACAAACGCAAGACGAAACAAAAAGTACAGCAATGAAGCATATAGAAATCGGAGAAAAAAAATACAGTTTCACCCGATAAGTCTAAACAATTGCAAATACAAATAAACGTTAAATGATACATTCCCTCTTATGGCGTAAGTCTTGCTCCAGCAGATTATTTTAGACCAATCATAGTTTAAGTCCAATTATGCCCCTGTACAGTTCCCGATCCACTGTAATGTGCACCGGGATGCCCACTTTTTATTGCGGGCGATATTGGCACGTACAATAATGATTGAATGATTGAAATTGCAGAAAGCATCGCGTAGACACAGGTGGCCCGCACATCTTGCGCCGTGTGCTCGTGTGTAACCGCGTGCGTGCGTGTCCTCCCCACCCTTTGTGGGTTGCAGCCTCAACAAGGACGTGCCAATCTTCGTGTGCACCATGGCATTCCCCACCGTGCCGTGCCCCCTGCACATCTTTGAGCCGCGCTACCGCCTCATGGTGCGGCGGGTGGTGGAGGCCGGCACGCAGCAGTTCGGCATGTGCCCTGCCGACAACGTGCAGGGGTGAGATGGAGGAAGGAGAGGTGGCCCCTGGCTCGGGGGCGGACATTGAGATGGTACCGCTAAATCACGTGCGCGGGTTGGGACCCCGGGTTCCAGACACTCACATCGACATGTGCTCTGTCGACAATGCGCAGGGGAGAAATGGGGGAAGCAGAGGTGGCTCTGGCTCAGGGGCGGATATTGAGATGGCACTGCTAAATTGTGCGCGCAAGTTGGCACCCCGGGTGTTCCAGATGTTCACATCAACTGAGTTGTCGAGCGCAGTCAGTTGATGGTCACTGCCTGGTCACCAACGATTGCACATGCACACACACAAAAAATTATCGACATCTTCCATGTTGTCTTATTTGAACTTGCAAATGTAGAGTTAAGATTCAAATAGTGTAAACATTCTACCACCTGGTTGGGTTTTGATAATTTTGGCACAGTTATATTTATACATATATACATATATGTATTTCCATGTGAAAGGCCTTTAAGCTTTAAAATACACCGATTCACAGGACCGACAAAAGTCGGTCTATTGAAGATTAAATAGGTATCCTACTATTTTCTCAAGTATGTTTTTGAGTGTGTACAGCTTATGTGTGGAGAGTGGTATATGTTTATAGGTTTCGATATTCTGCACCTCTGAATAGCACCTGCACCTACGATTAGCACGGTTGACTATGTACAGTGCGAAAGAAGTTCAACATATATACATCTGTACATGCACATTAGTGGAATGCAGTATCTGAACATAGTCCTATGACTTCCTAGGTCAACTCAGCCTTAAATGAGTACTGCATGCAGTGTATGAGCGTTCGCACTGGAGAGACGCAAACTGCAGGCCATGGTGCTGTGGCCATCCCGTTCCCTCTTGTGCCTGTGCTGGCCTTCGTAAGCGCTCGCTGTTTAAACAGCTTACATGGCTAAATGGGGGGTCTTTATCCTCTCGGTGCGTGTGTGACACATTGCAGTTTTATCGTGTTGCTAAAGGGCCGGCTGCATCTTTGTGTTTATTTCTTTAGTCTGACCTCTCGGCAACAAGGACGTGTATAATGAAGCATTCCCTGGCTTCTGTGTGTTTATAGAGCCCCTAATTGGCAGACACTGGCAAGGAAGTGCTTTGCGCATTATAGTCTTACGAAGGGGGTGGGGGTCTGGTGGATCAGAGCCGATAATCAGTTGAGCTGTCTGTCCCATTTGTAGATTGCAGATTGCACGTGTGTTTAGTTTGTTGTTGCAATGGCTTTATAGTCCGGTTAACACTTTCAGGTGGCTCGGGGATCATCTGAATGCATTATGGAAACAATAATTGACTGACTGGCTGTGTGTGGCTCCGTCTTCATCATTGCTTCAAGCACCATTCAACCTTGGGAGGTATTAACTTGCTAGTGGCCCACACCCAAGCAAGTGGCCCATGTCGGATAAAAATGATGACATTTGTATACTGTGCGCACGACGTGGTAGCGTGAAGTGGAATGGTAGTTATCAACTCGCATTACATTTATGTTCGCATACACGAGAGGGACATGGTTCGGGTCTTCTTTGGGCCTCATTGTGCCCCTTACATGTGTCTCTCCGTCCTTCATAGGCACTCAATAGAAGCCCCTACTTTTACAGATCATATAGATAAACAGTGTGTATTGTTCGTGCATGTGAGGGATTGCACCCTGGCATCACGGTTAGCGCATTGGACCTACGATCCAAAGGTGACCACTTCGATATGCATCTCCTGTAGCTGCAGGTGCAAGTTTCTGACATGCACCGACCTCTGTCCATCCAGCAGTGTAAATGGGTGATCAGCAGGTTGTGTATCGTGCAGTAAAGAGTGGAGTACTCCCACCTATTCAGAGATATCGGACCACAGTCAGAGTCCATCATCATCATCATCACGATCCATGGGCAGATAACCCGTAGGTGTCCACTGCACATTTCATCATTTGTTTCCACTTTCCTCTGTGGTCACATCTTTCTGGCACCAATCTCTTATGTCGTCGTCAAGTCATTCTCTGTTAGGCTTTCCTCTCTTTCTGATTCCTTACATTATTCTGAACAACACACTTAATTTTCCTGTTGCCCATCCTACATATGTGTCCAATGAGTGCCAGTTTCCTTTTCATCACTGCCTGCATCATCAGGTCTTCTATATGTGCAACCTTTTTTTTTTCTTACTTCTACATTGGTCACTCTTTGGGTCCAGCTTAAATGCAGAAGAGTAGGCGGTAAAATATCCTCCGGATGGGGCTGTCAACAGATCCCTCTCTAGAGCTGTGGAACGAGGAAGTTCATTGCAGGGCTGCGCCTTTACCTTGCGTGTGTATGGTACGGTGAATGCGTGTGCGAGAACAGGTTTGCGGAATACGGATGTGTGCTCAAGATCCGCAGTGTGGAGTTCTTCCCGGATGGACGCTCGGTGCTGGACACGGAGGGGCTCCGGCGGTTCAGGGTGCTGGCACGCAAGCAGAAAGATGGCTACAGCACAGCCGACATCGAGTACCTGGAGGACACCAAGGTGAAACGCATGAATCACGCAGGCTTGTTAATGGTGCGCGCAACGGCAGTTCGCCCTCACTGCGATTCCACGCATTGCCTCGATTTGGAGGTCACGGTTTGACATGTTTATTGATTATTTGTTCAGGGTCATTTATATGGTCCACCACCTTTGTTCGCTTTTGTTCGTTAATCTTGGAGAACAATTTGGATGTAATTTGCATAAATTGTAAATATTATATGGACAATTTAATGTTTGTATCATAAGTAATAGAATGTACAAGTTGATGTGTCGTTACATGTCCAACATATTTAGGTGCTGGCTATGTCCAATCCCTTTGCACATAATTATTTGAACCTGGCCTGACCTCCTACTATGTCAACTCGTGCAAATATGAGTGTCTGGTTTGGGGACTCTCCGAGGTCTACTCAACCATAAATGATTACCTGGTGCAGTGTGTAAATATTATCACTGGCGAGACAGACAGCCAAGCGCAATGACAGTCAAAACATCCCCCTTGTGCACTGTTACGGCCTGCCTAGTGCTTGCTAACAGCACTTGCCCCAGCAGTCAATGAATTAGGCTACACGGGGAATCTTTGGTTTGTATGTGTCTCTGTGTGCGAATACCTGGTGTGACGTGTAAACATCGTCACTAAGGGAGAAAAAGGCGGTCGGGCATGGTGCTGGCCACCCACCCCCTCGTGTGCCATGCCGGCCTTCAGAGGTCCTCACCAACAGTGCTTGCTCCAACAGTCTGTTAAGGCTATACGGGGGGTATTTGTCTGTCCTCTCTGTGCTCACTGCAGGTGGATGGAGCTGCGCTCACGGACTTATGTAGCCTGCACGAGTCTGTGTACAGCCAGGCGAGCTCCTGGTTCTCCATGCTCAAGGAAAACATGCGCCACCAGATCCTGCAGCACTTTGGTCCCATGCCGGGCAAGGAACCCGATCCCCAGGTACCCTGCTGCCTCACTGGCAATGTCTTTACAAAGGAACGCACCATGACGTTCGAAGATACGCATCGGGCATAGAGAAGACCTGCAATGCTGTGCCAACCTGCGACGGGGAGTTTTCACAGTGCGAGGTGGTCAAATGTGGTGCTGATCATACCAAAGGCAAAGAGACAAAGATCCCCCTGTATAGCCTTCACAGCCTGTTGGGGCAAGTGCTGTGCTGTTAGCGAGCACCTGTGAAGGCCAGCATGGCACACAAAGGAGGGTGGGTGGCTAACACCACACCTTTGTCTCCCAAGCAGCGATGTTTACACACCGCACCAGGTTCTAATTTGAGGCTGAGTCGACCTAGGGGAGGCCCAGAACCTGTTCAGATAATCATCGCTGGTGTTGACCGTGAGCATAAATCGAACCTGGGTCGCCGGGTTCGTAGTCCATCGTGTGACATACAACCCTCCAGTGTGCTGTTCGACACGATGCCCGAAGTTTTTAAGCACATGCTGGAAGCTTCTTTGGGAGCCCAAAATCACATAGGATAGCTTAACAGCACATCTGAGAAAACCCCACGCAGTAGCAAGCCTTGACAGCTACTACCGACAAATCACCACTCTTAGAAATGTGTGGCTAAACATGGTATCTTTGTGCATACGTGTGTCTTTTATGTTGACCGAAGCTGGGCCCCGATGGACCCAGCTGGTGCTGGTGGATGCTGGCCGTGCTGCCGCTGGACATCAGAGCCCAGATGTCCATCACGTCGATGACGAGGCTCGTGGAGAGGCTGGTGGCGATTCGCCGCATCCTCATACTCATGACCCGCACACGTGCGCAATAGGCAAGACTGCATCGCGCACGAACATGTGATGAGGCATCAGTCGCCTCTGCGGGACCGGTGTTGGATTGCTGCATGCCAGGCACATCAGTGCTTCCTCACGCTTATGCAAATAGCCATGATGTAGTCGCTGGCCACGGCGTCTAGTTTGGTAACATGACTACGTTATACTTATGCAGAACACTGGCGGGAGGGATAAAAAAAAATTCCTTTCGGTGACCAGGCAGGGGCAGTCAGATCACCTCCTGGATACTGAATTTCTGGAGAGCCGCGCGCATACCCTCCAATGGGCATCACCAAGCTCACTAATGGTCACTTTCCGTACCCAACCATCGATGCCTACTGATCTTAAGTGGCTCTATAGTTTTCTTGATTATGCAGAGAGCAGGTATTTGCTAGTTTGTAGGCAATAGAGTGCTATTTATGTACACAAGCGTTGTATATATCTGTATATAGTTGTGTGTGTGTGTGTGTATATATGTTTGTAAATGTGTAAATTTGTGTTAGTATCCTTACAGATAAAACATTCAGGTTTAATGAAAGAATAAAGCATGGGCTGTACAGCTCCAGTAGATATGCCTCTGCTAGCCAACACATTGGTCTCATAGGGATTGGACTGATCTCCCGATTGTCTTAGATGGTCATTGTTATTAATGAATGGAACAAATTGAAATGGAATGCAAAAATACGCAACGTTGAGAACACGGGACTCTGCTAACAAGAGACATCATAAATCACACGTACTTGAGTCTGCACCCAAGTGAGCTACACAAACACATCCTCGATGTACAAGATCAGATGCTGGACATAGTCTATGTGACACACATTTATGCAATGAACTGTCGCACACGTGCAGTAGTTTTAACGCAGATGCGTTAAAACTACTCAAAGTGACAGCCGTGGATTTTGTGTGCGTTTTTTTCTGAGTGTAATAGTAATATGCACACATACACATGGTAAGGCCGATTGATACATTTTTTACAAATAAGGTGCCGTGGCCAGCATCACGCTTGGCTTTCATGTCCCCGTGACTGATGTCGACACATAGCACGAGTCAACTTAGGCTGAGTCAACATAAGGGAAGACCAGGCAACATTACATACAAAGACCCCCCGTATAGCCTGAACGGACTATTGTGGCAAGTGCTGTTACCGAGCACCTATCAAGGCCGGCACGGAACATGAGGGGGTTGGTGGCCAACACCACGCCCTGCCGCTTTTGTCTCCCCAGTGATGATGTTTACACACCACACTTGGAACTCATTTAAGGCTGAATCGACCTAGGAGAGGCCCAGGACCGGTTCAGATAATCGTCACTGGTGTTGATTAGCACAGTACGCTAACCACTACACTACCGCTCTCCACATTACATATTCACACTAAAAGAGATATACACACATAAACACATCCGTGTCTCTTTGACAATCCAGTATGCGTCTAATTTAAACGTGTGTTTAGGTGTGCTTTGTATCGCCTCTCGTGGTAAGCTCGGGCACAATTAAATACGAGCATTGAACACAGAGGGGGGCTTCAAGTGACAAAATTGTCCGTATGCAATGTGAAGCATATTTTTTTCTATTCCATGCCTCACTCTTTCCAAAAGAAAATGCAGCCAGAAAGTGCTGTGGACATGACACTTGTTGAACGTTGACTGCATGTGTGATGTATCTCAACTCTTGCGAGAATATGTGCTGTGAATAAACAGTCCTGCAGAGAGTATCTCAAGATGACCCTATAAGTGTTGGAAATACATTTTATGCAGCAATTTTTTTCCGAAGGCTTGCGTTGCTCTCATTTTCGCCTGCTGCGATTTCATCTTAAAGCAGCTGCGGTACATTCAGCGTGCCAAGACGAGCCCGTGCAATTATTGCAGTTGCGTGTGGTGGGTTGGAATTGTTCACGTGTTAAATGTGGGCTCATTGCATACCGGTGGAGTAATGGTGGCGTTTAAGCTCCTGTTTTGATGGGACACATCCTAAGTGGTAATGAATGTGTAGAATTGGATTTATAAGGTGGAGTGATTAGGAGCCATTACTTCATTGTGTTATAGATGGGACTCACAATCTCTATACTTTGCATCCCTGTACATACAGCTCACCTGGCCCACTGATGTAAGGGTAAAATGGGTATTACAAGGCAGCATACTATAGTATGCGAATGTCTGTAATTGACACATCAGATCCTTTTACGAAACCCTACTACAGCCCACCGTTGAATGTCGCCAAAAGTTAAGAATGTGGGGCAAATTTAGTCGGAACCTTACAATTTAAATCTGGTTTGAGAAGACTATATACTTGGTTTGCAAGCTAGTTCCTTGGATAAAAGCTGATTTCCCCTTTTTAGGAAGTTATGAGCAGATTCCTGAATTAAAAAATGAAGTAACGAACCTTTTTAGAAATCATGCCTGATCTGCCATACCAGAGTGGCTTAGGGTGTTGGCTCTTTACAAATCTGGATTTATATTGGTATAGTGATGCAACTTTATGGACGGAATGCTGCAGTAATCTCCACTGACTATGATCAATGGTGAGACAGTAAAAGACGTAATGCCAACCAAAGTCGTCCGACTTTGGGTGGTTGTTCCATAGATGGAACCCTTGTCCCTTCACACCACAAACGTGTCCTCTGTTCCTATCGTTTAAAATAAGGCAGCTAGTAAACCAGACAGCCAAGCACGCTGTGGCTACATTGGACTCGTGAGGTCAAATCAACACGTCTTGCTTTTCAAACGAGCAATGGTGCAGAAGTCAGATTTTTTTTTCAGCCTTGAGCCACAAAAACTTACACATTCATGTGGCAGGAACAAGCATATTAATAGAACAACCACCGTTAGCTTAAAACATACGATCGACACAAGATGGATAACTCGACTCCTAACTGTGATTTAAACTCGCAACCCTCTCGTTGCGAGTCGAACGCTGTAACTACAGCGCTGCCTGCCAGATAGGCCCCATATCATGATGCAGATATGACCATTGCAGCCCAACAAGTGCAAATAAGTCCTGGCTGCACCGAGTACTTGTGTCGCACTCACTCTTGTTTTGCCATGTGCTTGTGTGACGGTCATGGGAAATTAAGTTCTCCAACACGTCTTACAAAACTGAGTTCTACAGCGATTGCGTTGGGAATGAGATTTATTTTTTAAGGGTCAAAACTGTGCTACAAAGGGACGAATTAAATTTCGTGGAAAAAATTGTCAATTGCTGATTGATTTGGGAACTGTCACAACCAAATCAAGTAATTTCATAACAAGCATACGAGCCAACAGTTGTGCTAAAAATCCTACCATTGCATCCAGGAAACCCACGTTCATTTGTGATATCGGTGAGAAATTGCAGTCACAATAAATAAAATGATCTCATTAAGTTACTTTTCTTTGGGTGAATGCATAACGTTGTACAAAATCGGCTAAAAATAATTGTGCAGCGTTGAATGTTGCTGTCAAAAACTGCAAAAACTCCATTGGCTAAAGACAACGGTTGCAGCACTTAAAGGCACGCTCACATCCAGAGGAGGTTGCTCTCTCTCTGTAAAGTAAAACATAAAATAATAAAAGCAATAAAAATATTTTTTTATTGTTTCCCTTCTTCGTGACTTTACCGAAAGAACCAAGAATATGAATCCCTGCAGTCACGAAAACTTTCAATAAAAAAATATATAGTTAAACGTTGCCTCTGGTTTAGTTATGATAATTCCTTGATAGTGTGAAAATGCATTTTTATATTCCATCTTGATACGGGGTATCAGCACGCAACTTGCATACCGCTACGTATGGTGCAAAAGATGTTCCACATACAAATAGAGGTAAATATTTGTTTATTTAGTTCCAGCAATGGGAAGCAGCAATGCCATGAAAAATATTGCGAGTTTTTTTTATGTTCACAAATTGGCAAATAGAATGGCCTCCTGAAGGACAAGAAATTACTGCATTTGGAAATGTACCTCCTGTGTATTGTCTTGATTAGCACGGTTGGCTAAGTACGGTGGGAAAGAAGTTCAAGATGCATACATAGACCCCAGACCCCAACTGCACAGGCCATTGCGCACCCCATGTAAATCTCCCATGAAAAACCCCATACGTATAGGTAATATGCTACCCACACACACATAGGTAATGTATCACTCCATATATATTTTACCATCGTATACACATGGGTCCAAACCCAGTACAAATTGGTGATTTACCACCGCCATACACATTTCCACAGAGGTCGTGTACCAACACCCTATAAACCACACGGTTGTCATCTATAATGCGAGGTTGTGGTGGTGGCGGTACTAGCAGAATGTTGGTTTGGAGAGAGAGGTGGGCAGCCGGTTTGGCACTGCAGGCCATATGGCCCAGTAGTCTGCATACTGGCATTACTCTACAGGCCATATCGCTCAAATTTGAAACCGCAATGGCCGTGTGGACTACAGGCTTATTGGTGTCACTAAACGTGAAAATACATGTTTGTGCATCTGGTTTTAATGGGCGCAGTTCCTAGCTCTTAGAAGTTGGGTGGGAAGTCACCTGCCCAGGCTCAAATAAAGAAATGATGCGCCGCAATCTTGTGCATCGTTCAGATTCGCATTTTAGAGAGCTATTGAATGGCTCGCGTGGAAGAAACTGCATTTCTGCATAAACTCGAATGGTGAGTAACTCTAAATCAGGGGAGCACTCATAATAATATAGGAAATGGAAACTTAAATGAATGCATCCAGAATAGTTGTATGCTTTGTAAAGGGTATAAACAGTTAATGAAATGGTGGCAGTTTTACCAATATGAATTTGTATTGACAAATTGTTCTATTGCAGTGTTTGGCCACAGTAGACTGAAACGTTAAAACTAAAAAGTCCATTTGAATGTGTTAATGGAACTGTAAAAGTCGGTAATTATTTTCATATGATGGAGAAAATCTGTTTTTTAAACGACAATCCAATTACAGTGCATTTATTTTAAACGTGTAGATTTTCATAACGTCAGTTTTTTTTCCCCCGTACACGTTACTGACAACGTTTCAATGCATTGTGATATATAAAAAAAGAGTTTTACCCCGACACTCGAAACATCTGGCCCTGCACCACATCCGATAGAAACTTTTGGGAAAGTAGCAATATTTTTTTGGTTTACTACCAATGCCCTAAGGCTTTTGTGCAGAGCTTTTGTTGATGTTGTTAAAGCTTAGGTGAGATGTGTGACTCACAAAACAGACCTGGAGTCGCATTGCAATATCGGGTGAAGGTTCCCAGGAAACCCTTGAATTCTGTACGACGTTCTGTTTATGGGAAGTTATAGTTTGGGGGGACAAAAGAACAATTCCGAGTCGCATGGCAACCGTTGGTTAACATGACCCTCCTTTAGAGATTGTAAAGTAAAAATTTGAGAAACGTGCGTTATAAGTTTCCACTTGATAAGCAACTTTGTTGAGCTATCATTTGTGGCCAGGTCGCTTCTGTAAAAGAGCGACATAGCTCAATGAGCCTTACCAGGTTGGCTACACAGTATAAACAATGTCTGCTTGCTTAAGAAACAGTTTGTAGCCTTGAGGTAATGGTGGAAATTCGGCATTTGTCTTATGGCCATGTCATGCCAATCTTTCCCGAGGACAACCATTATTGACTTCACATTTCACAATCCCAAGAGATTGAGCCGAGTGGACTGAGATAATGTAACGAGATTCTATAAGGTACAAAACAGGGAACATAGAAATGTCGAGCACAGCCGAGGCAAGATAGGAGTGCTACATTTAGTTGGCGACTCCACGTGTCATTGGTTCAATCCGTTCTCATTCCATTTTTTCTTAAACTACACTAACTTTTAAGCAATGCATGCAATTGGCAACCAAATCAGCATAAGTGCTTTGTTGCCATGTGCAGGTCTTCTCGGGCTTTCCCTGATGTGAGTTATTTCCCTCATGTACATTAGGTCACTGCTCTTTTCAGTACAAACCTTGGGCTACCACTTAACTGTGCTTTGTGGTGTAACTCACCCGTTTCAGGCCGAGGGGAGTTGATCGTGAACACAGGAGTAGCTTTTTGGAGCATGCTCGCTCCTCCTCACGAAGGTGAACATCGCCGCCCATGAGAGAACCTTGTGTGTGAAGAGCAACAAGCCGCTTCTCGGAGTGACCCAAACGTGGCTCCACTCCCGGTCTGCACTTTATGAGATGCTTTGCAGTCTCCCGCGCAAGGGACTCGCGTGCGAACGCGCTGCATCTCGGGTTTCTGCAGTATGCCGATAC